GTGATCTGGTTCTGAAAAGAAAGGTGGGGATAATAAAAAAAATGATGCTATCCTGGGAAGGCCCATACAGAATTGCGGAGTTCATAGGGAAGGGGGCATATACATTAGAGACTATGGCGGGTAGGTTGGTCAACAAGCCCTGGAATGCAACATCTTTGAAGAGGTACTATCAATAAAAGCTAAGTTTCAGCTTTATTGGGTGTCGTATGTTTTCAATCAAGTACGTGTCAATGTGCAAATTCCTGAAATTTATAAAAATAAGCTTTCCTTTTTGAAAGGGTTTTTAAAAAAAAAAATAAAAAGCCAAGTGGCAAGTGGCATTCTAGCCGAGCGCCAGGCACTTGAGCAAGATAAGTGGCAGCTGGCACCATAAGCCGAACGCCAGACACTTGCTAAAAAATGAAAAGCCAAGTGGCAAGTGGCATTCTAGCCGAGCGCCAGGCACTTAAGCAAGATAAGTGGCAGCTGGCACCATAAGCCGAATGCCAGACACTTGCTAAAAAAAAATAAAAAGCCAAGTGGCAAGTGGCATTCTAGCCGAGCGCCAGGCACTTGAGCAAGATAAGTGGCAGCTGGCACCATAAGCCGAACGCCAAACACTTGCTAAAAAATGAAAAGCCAAGTGGCAAGTGGCATTCTAGCCGAGCGCCAGGCACTTGAGCAAGATAAGTGGCAGCTGGCACCATAAGCCGAACGCCAGACACTTGCTAAAAAATGAAAAGCCAAGTGGCAAGTGGCATTCTAGCCGAGCGCCAGGCACTTAAGCAAGATAAGTGGCAGCTGGCACCATAAGCCGAACGCCAGACACTTGCTAAAAAAAAAATAAATAAATAAAAAGCCAAGTGGCAAGTGGCATTCTAGCAGAGCGCCAGACACTTGAGCAAGACAAGTGGCAGCTGGTACCATAAGCCGAACGCCAGATACTTGCTAAAAAATAAAAAGCCAAGTGGCAAGTGGCATTCTAGCCGAACGCCAGGCACTTGAGCACGATAAGTGGCAGCTGGCACTGCTAGCCGAACGCCAAGCACTTGCCATAAACAAGCACACGACAAAGTTAATATAGAAAAAAAAAAGAGAGAAAACGTATATATATATTGAAAATGGGTTTGAACAGAGCGCAACACAAAGGAAAAAGAGAAAAAGAGTTCTGTCATCTCATTCATAATAAGCATTGAGTTTACAAAAAATGAAATATTCAAGTCACATTGTTACAAAAAAGTATGGAATCGAAGAGTCCGGAGGAGTCCTAGCTAGCTGCCTCAGTACCGATAGCATCCTGGTTGTGCCGACCCGCCTCCTCGGTCCCATCAGCCGTCTCACCCTCACGAGGTGGGGAATCAAGATGAATAACAGAGTCATTCTGCTGGGGGCCAACGTCAGCAGTGGCTATGGGAGGTACCACAGTTGACGATTGAGGAGCGGTTAGAGGCAGAGCGGTAGAAGGAGCTGTAGTGATCCTTGAGGAAACAATGTCCTGGCACTCATCAAATATGTGCTCCACTTTGGTGGGTTCTGGGTCAACATAGACCCCCAGAGGGTCAATCCCTAAATCCTTGTCGACCTCATCTGGAGTGGAGCTGGTCTGTCCCTCATCCGGAACTCGGTCGGAGAAACCTTCTCGGAATCCTTGAGCATATCTAAGAGTGCCGACCCTTGAGAACCGAGCATGAAGAGCCAGCATCCCACCGTTCACTCTGCTGATTGTATCAATCAGAGCAGTACGCTCGTCCAGAGCTCTCTTCTCAAAAGCCATCCGAGCAGACTGTTCATCAGCCAGAAGGCGCTGGAGCTCTGTCTTTTCGTCTCTGATTGAATCACGCTCAGTCTGCCAGACGCTTTTTTCAAGCTGGAGGGCATCCTTCTCATCCTGAAGAGAGTCGTTCTCCTTCTTCAAGACATCTCTTTCTTGTTCAGTTTTTTCAAGCCGAGCCAATACCTCGGCATTCTTGCTGGTGAGAAGGTCGTTTTCTTTATTGGCCACCTCCAGGCTATCAGAAAACTTACGAGCCCTGGCGTTCCCCATCTCTACCTGCTTCTGCATAGCCATCATTCCGAACAGAGTCTGCATAGATGTACATTAATAATGGTTAAACCGATAGTCTGGTCGGGCGAAGGCAAGACCAAATAATATGAGGGAATTCATGAGTTGAAAATAAAAGTCACCTCCATGGCAGATTGGGGAAAGCGGCTGAACACATCCTTCTGGGATAGGCCTTTCGCCGCCTCAAGGTCTTTCGGAGTCCACATGTTCCTATAATACGCCATGGCGGTCTGGCCATCCTTTAGCATGGTCTCGTTCGGCTTCATGAACGTCCCATCCGTTCGGGTGTACCGAGGAGCCCATGGTGGTAAAGTGGGAAGAGAAGGGGAGCCTGAAGCAGAAGCAGAGGCACCAGCTGCAACAGGCCCGGACGGGGCAGAAGCTCTGACCGGGCGATGCAAGAGAGCACCCGGCCCAGAGACCCGGGTCCTTCTTATGAGAGGTTCCTCCTCAGGGTCGACTCCACTGTCAGGATGAGGCCTTTTGCCTCGTTCTTTGTCCCGAGCGCCCCCAACGGCAGCAGGGGCTGTAGTGATTTGAGGAGACACGCTCGGGTTGGTAGCAGGGGTGCTGACAACAGAGTCAATAGCCACCGTGCTCGGGATGGTGTCAGAGATGGTGGCTGAGGAAGAGGCTGATGCAGGAGAGGAGGTTGCCCCAGCAGCAGAAGTGGCTGGGGGAGTATTTTTCTTCCTGCCAAAAGAGGGGATCTGAAGCCTGCTCATGTTATAGGCGAGGGATGAGAGCGTTAGGAGGTTGTCTGAAGCGAGGAGGTCTGAGCAGGAAGGAATATCGTTCAGAACGTATTTCTTCAAGTAATTACTCCTATCCCTGCAAACACTGTAGCTCAAGTCATCACAAGGTATTCCTAAGGAGCGGCATAAGAAAGTACAAAAGCGAGGAACGCATGTTTCGCAGGGGCAATCATTTTTGTGAGATTTGAATTTCTTATATGAGGAAACAAAACAGACGCCAAAGGCGCTCGGGATTGGATAATCCTCTGCAGCCGGCGAAGACCAAGCCCCACTAATACCCAAAATGTTATCCCTCCAACCCTTTTCAGATTTGATTGTGTCCGTGCATATGGACATCTTCTCGATCGGGTAGAGGTGGTAGAAGGGCTCGTTAATTCGGATCTTACTGACCTTATAACACAGGAGAAGATCTATGAGGTCAAGTTCTAGACTTCTGTCACGAATCAACAGTAGCATAACGGATATGATTCTAAAGAAATTGGGGTTTACCTGCAGGGGGGATATCCCTAGTCTATTGAAGACATAATTAAAGAAGGGATGCAGAGGGAACCTAACGACATTCAGTTGAAGGTTTGAAAATAAAACTTCGCCGGGGAGGAGGCCGGCACCGGTCATAATATTAACGTCCTTAGGGTAAACCCTAACTTGGATGTTGTCAGGAAGTCTAAGTCTCATACGAAGAACATCTAGATCTACAACCATAGTGGAAGTGATTGAAGGATCTAAAAGGGTAAAAAGAAGCCTGCCGAAAGTAAAAAGGAACAAAACTAACCTCTGAGGTAGAGAGCAACAAAGAGCACTGCAAGATCGCTGGAAGAATGACTCTTGAAGGATTTCACCAGAAAAAGCTTAGCACTGTTCTAAAAAGAGAGAGATTTGACTGATGATGGAGACGGTAAAAAGGCATGAAGTGGTATTCTAGAGCCTTATAAAGGCGAGGGGGACCCGAGGGCCGAAGCGTCAGGAAGGCGAGAAATTCATCGAGCCCCGGAACATTGATTCTGGATCTGACCGTCCGTTCCCCCACGTGGGTTTCTCGAGCCGTCAACGTCATGATGAGACGCCATCAATAATTACCCCCTTATTAAATAAGGGGTAATTATGGGGGCAGTTGAGGAGGCCCAGGATGACATGGGCCGAATATGACTTGCAAACATGACATCCGGTCCGTATAGCTGGGTCAGGCCCATAAAAAGACACTGCCATATGGGCCGAACGCGAATAAGCCCGTCAAAGGTGACCAGGACTTATGGAGGAACAGGCCCAGATCCAGCAATCCGTCAACATTTGCAAATATCTATAAATAGGAGAAGTAATGGAAAGAAAAAGGGGGATATTTTTTGGTTGAAATGTAAGAATTCTAGAGAGAGAAAGAGAGTATGAATTTCTTGCATCTTCAGTATGGGTTTTGTTTTTAATTTTTTTCTAAATCAACTAATCAAGGTCTGTAATTCTTGTTTTGCAAACTAAATCCTAAAATCAAGTGTAATCTTGATTTTGTGTAAGGGTAAATTTAGCATCAGAAATAATACATCAAGCCTCTACCTCTCTTTCCTTCCATTTTTGGGAGGATAAGAAAGTTGATATCCTTCCAAAACCATCCGTTTCATTTCCTTCCAACCATTTATGCCGAACACAAGTTTTTAATCATCCCCCATCATCTTTCCTTTCCTCCCTTTTCCATTGCACCAAACTGACCTAAGGCTATGTTTGGTAGGGTGGCTTTTTCATTGCACCAAACTGACCTAAGGCTATGTTTGGTAGGGTGGGTTTGAAGGGAGAGGATAACATTAGTTACGAGGAAAAGGGAAGGAAATGATAATTTTAATTTCCTATCGTGTTTGGTTGATTATTGAATAGAAAAGAAATGGAAGGATAATAATCATGTTTGGGAAAAGAAAGGAAAGGGTGATAAGCATGTTTGGGGAAAGAAAGGGAAGGAAAGGAAGGAGAATTATTTTAATAAATTTACTATTATGCCCTTTTATATTTTAAAATATAAATATATATATATATATATATATATATATATATATATATATTTGTCTCCTATATAAAGGCCCATGGATCGACCACCAGAAAATGAAATTTTTTTTAGGGCATAAGGTTTCAATACTAAATTTTGGAAACTGACCTTCCCTTTTCACCTTTTTTTTCATTATACCAAACTGACCTTAAAAGAGTTGCTTTTATTTATTTATTTATTTATTTAATAGCCAACTGTGAATAAATCATTACAACTTGGGATCTGAAATCAATTGAAGTCTATTTACTTCCACTTCTACAAGCTTCGAATTGAATCTCTGCTCCTGTTCTTCTTATGGCCGACTCAAACGAGCCTCAACCCTGTGAACAAGGTCTGATGATTTCTCTCCTTTATCTATCCTTCTGTTGTCTTTTATTGCATATATATCGATTTCATCTTTCAATTTTTATTTATTTGTGTTTTTGTATTTTACAGTCTGTAATTTCTTTCGAAAACCATCAAAGAACAAGAATATCAGAAAGCGAAAACTCAATGATGAAAACGAAGAAGAAGAGGATTCAAAAACTGAGACCTCGCTGTTTGTCAATAAGAAAAAGCCCCCAAAACCTGACAATAAGCTACACTTCTCTACCGGACCCTCCAAGCGCACAGTTTCATCTGAATCAGGCATAGACTCCAATGCCTCAATGTTTCAATTCGAGTCCTCGAAGGAAATTCGAGTTCAAGATGATAGTAGGGCAACAGCAACCCTTGAAACTGAGACTGATTTTTCGAGAGATGCTCGAGCAATCCGTGAGAGGGTTCTCAAGAAAGCAGAGGATGCTTTGAAGGGGAATGGGAAGGAAAAAAGCTCTGGCGATGAAAAGCTGTACAAAGGAATTCATGGGTATACTGACTACAAGGCTGGGTTCCGAAGAGAGCAAACAGTTGCGGCAGAGAAAGCCGGTGGGGCGCATGGGCCTCTTAGGGCTTCTGCTCACATAAGAGTGTCAGCAAGGTTTGATTACCAGCCAGACATTTGTAAGGATTACAAAGAGACCGGTTATTGTGGGTATGGAGATTCGTGTAAATTTATGCATGACCGGGGTGATTATAAGTCGGGGTGGCAGATGGAGAAGGAGTGGGAGGAAGCTGAGAAGGCAAGGAAAAGGAATTTGGCTATGGGTATGGATGACAGGGATGAAGGAGCAGCAGACCAGAGTGATGAAGATGATGATGGTTCATTGCCCTTTGCATGTTTTATTTGTAGGCAGCCTTTTCAAGACCCTGTTGTAACCAAGTGCAGGCACTACTTCTGTGAGCATTGTGCATTAAAGGTAAGCCTTCTCAAACCCTTATCTTATTTGATCATAATCATATTGTTGGTTTATCTACTATTGGTTATCTTATCAGGTCTTATTGTATGCCTTAATATTTATTACTTTTCACTGGACTATTTGAAATGAGAAATTTATTCTAGATGATGAAGAAATAAGAATAATTATATTACAGAACACGTAGACACATGTATAATTGTGGGAGTTCAAATAATTTTATTGCTCTTATTGTAAAGAAATAAACTTGTAAGATGCTGCTATAAGTAACTTTTCTTTGTCCGATGCAGTTGTAATTTTGAATTTCCACTACCATAAAATACAAGCATCTCCGTATCAAACAATGTTATGAAGATAATATCACGTAAAGAACCTTCTTGAATTACTAACCCCATTACAGATTAAATCTTAAGGGTTTGAATGTTTCTTCTTTAAAGGTCTAGTCTCACTACCAAAGCCTTGGCTTGAGTGGTATGTCCTCCACCTCTCAGAAAGGGGGGGTTGGGGTTTAGGGTTTAGGGTTCAACACCTTGTGGGGCATGTTTGTTAGAATATATCTATTTAAAAAGGGTATTAAGTGAAATTGGTTGTCTGCTTGTACTCCTCACTCAATGCACACAACTTCTTAGTTTAGGAGAATGAGACATGTTGTATCATAGGCATGGCAATTCTATCTAATTTTTTGTTGTCAGGTGTAGTAAATTTTGATTAAACAGATTTGAGTTTTTGAAATTCAATAGTCAAACAAAGTTCAGACTTGGCACACTCCTAACGTATTCACTCCCGCAGTAATGGATGTGATATTGGCTTATTCGGTGAGAACACTTTTGAAAATTACTGGTTTACCAATGGTAAGACAAAACAAGAAATGTTAGGATCGTATAAATGTTGTTGCAGGAGATAAAATGTATTCCTATCATTTCAATCAGGTGGGGATATGCATCTTGTTTATATGACATTAAGTGGTGCATTCTAGTGTCTGGGCTACTTAGAGGAGAATAAAAGTGATAATGACCATTCCTTGATATAATACTAGCTTCAAGGGTCCGTCTTATATTAATGGTTATATATAGGAAACAGCACAATACATTTGTCGAAGTTACATAGTATGTTGATAAGTGGAATTAAATGCTGGAATTGGGTGTGGGAGTTGGGGTCCACCTTTGATAATATTTGTTGATATTAGATTTGTACACAACATTGATATTGATATGAAGTGGAATTGGGATTATAACTAATGATCCATATGAAAAGACTTCCCGTTTTACGTGACATTGACTTTATTTTATCCTTACCAATTTCAATTGCCACACAAGTGTAGAAACTAAGCATCTGATGTCAAACTTGCTTTTCCTAGAAGGCATATGGGTGCTGTCTCCACAATTCTTGCTTGTTAGGTTTGGGTTCAAGTGATTTGGTTAGGTTTGGAATTAATCTTATTCAAGACAAGGGCCCAAGGCAGAAGTACTTAATGTTACAGAGATACTCATTTTAAGAATTAAATTGAGGTCCTATTCAGTAAGATTCACCCAACTCCTCTCATAGAAATATAAAATTTAAGGTGTTAATTATGTTGTTTTATGCATAAAATTTGTTCCGCATCTCGTTTGAGAAGGTGGATCCGTCCCAACCAATTTTTTTTATTTTATTTTAAACATTAATAGATTACCCGGAATTTTCTCTTCTTTAAGTCTTTACTTGGTTAAATTAAAATAGTAAAATTATGTCCTATATCGTTTTTCAGTGCAAAATGATAATACAATTTGATACCATCTTGATTCTGTGCCTTAAGAATAACTTTGTAGTCTTTTGACAACCTAAAACAATTATTTTGCTTCTCTTTTCTGGCAGAGAAGAAGTTTTGTTCCTAGTAGATATTTCACTTGTTACCTTCCCTCAAAGCAGTAGTTGCTACCTATGCACCACCATATTTATTACACCACCCTCATAGTTGATCCTTAATCCCAGCTCTTTGATTAAGGTCGCTAAGAATGCAAACAGTTAGAAATTTCAGTTGTAAGTTGCTACAAATCTCATAACAAATACGGGTGAGATTTTTGGTGGTTTTTTGTTGATGAAGATGAATCATATATGGTGAATCCTGATGTATAACCGGTAACTCCCTCATTGGATAAACATTAACAATCAGATTGGTGATTTTCATTGACTTCAGAATTATAATACTGCAGTCTCATTGTGAAATATTTTAGGGGAAGGAATTTTGGATGGTAAAGAAAAAACGATGTTCATAAAAGGAGTGTGGTTTAAATGTGGATATTAAAATGTATGCATTTTAAGACAAAAGGGATAAATTTAGAAACAATTTCATTTGTTATAGCATCCATAAAAAAGTTAAAATGAGAGATAATTGACCAAGACGGTTTCACCAAGATCAATAGCTATACCCATAAGGAGAGTAACATGGCTCGTATTAAAGATAACGTAAGAAAACTGAGACCAAAATTAGTATGAGTTGAGATAGTGATGAAAAATACAATAATGTGTTACTTAATTGATGTGACTGGCTTTAGATAAAACAGAATGTTGAAACAAGATTCACTTAACCGCCTCAAAGTAGTTGGTGTAATGTTTTATTAAATCGAATTGAGTTAACCAAGTTTGGTAGAATCTATTTTTTTTTTTTAACATTTAAATATATTTATTCTGTTACAGCATTGCATATCTTACTTCTCATTGGAAACTTAATCCGATTTTCTATTATAGCATCATTCTTGCCATATTTCACATCTTCTCTAATTAGGCTGTTACTTTCTAATCTTTTTGTCCAGCATCATTCAAAGAATAAAAAGTGCTTTGTTTGCAACCAGCCTACCCTTGGCATATTCAACACTGCTCATGAGATACGAAAGAAGATGGCTGCTGAGGGAAAATAGTAATGTTTGGTCGGTGCCATGCTTTGTAATTGCATATACTCGAGAAATATCTTCTTGACGTTGTAAATTTACCTTTTATCGAATTATTGTCGATCCATTAGTCTCATAATCTACACGAATTGTATGAATCATACATTATGCCAAAGTGGTTTAATTTTTACAACCATGAGCATTACATCAATCTATGTATTATATGTCCCACCTTTGCAAGGTGCTGGGAGGGGAAATCGTTATTTTTGTGCAAAGTGACTGTTCCGTAGATTAAACCCGTTCCATCACCACCTTTGTAAGCCTGGGTTTTACCATCAATTTAAGTGAATTTGTTATAAATCCTACATTGAGAAACAGTGGTTTCATTTTTATTGCCAGAAGCATTTGCTATGGATACAGGCATTTGAGTTGATTTTAAACCTTTTCCATTCTCAGAAATCATGCTTATGTTCTCTTCTGTCCTATCATGGTCAAGATATGGTCTTTTCTGTCCCCTCATGGTCAAGATATGGTCTTTTCTATCCCTCATGGTCAAGAAAATTATTTTAGCTCCTAATAATTGTATTTTGGTATTCGTCAAGGGTCATTACTCATCCAATAATACGTCCTTTGGAACTCCATCACCTTTGATTAATTGAATTCTATCAAATTATGTGAATTTTTGTAGGGAGAAATTAGCATTTGGGTCCAATTTGTAAATCTAAGGAAATTGGTTTACGTTAGTTGTTTCAACACTAGTAACCTTCTATGCTTCTCTTCACGAATTAAGTTTGCAATGAAAAACTGTGATTAGGCCACTTCACTCCTTATAACTATCTGTGTGAGGTTCTTTTTATTTTTTTGGATTAATTTATCTTGCAGTACTCTGGTTGATTAAAAAAAAACTTGGCCTTCAATATTTATGCTTTCATCATGATACAGTAGCACCTGAACCGAATGTCAGTCTCCAAAGATTTTAGATTTTCCCCAACTCAAGAGACAATTTCTGGATAACATTTTTACAAGTTACATGCACATTTTATTAACAATATTACCTACTGTACTGCTAAAAAAACATAAAAGTACAGTTACAAACTAAAAACCTAAAACAGAATGCACACGAAACAGGGACTCCCGAACTTTTACTCTTAGGTACCCTCTCTATGTTTTCTTTTGACTTTGGAAAGAACTTCAAGCGCTGGTCATTACCTCCTTGGTTACCCACTGTTCTAGAGGAAACCCCTAAAGGCAAACCCAAATACGGAATGGGAAAAGAACTCACCTTACACCCAAGGACTGCAGCTAAAGATGAGATATCCTGAACATCCCCAACTGGAACAATCACACTTTTAGCCACATTGATCTTCAGACCAGAAACAGCCTGAAAACAGGCCAAGATGCACCTCAAATATCTAAGCTGAGACACATTAGCGTTACAGAAAACCAGGGTGTCATTCGTAAAACACCATTTGCAATATTTAAAAGCTAATTACTCTTCTAACCAAATCAAAGTTGGTAAAGATTATAAGTGGTGTGACTTTTGAGTTTCTGCCTCTTGGTTAATACAAATCCAGTTATCAACTATTAGTGGTTTTTGGAGGCACTCTGTAAAAAGAACAAGATGTTACTCAAATGCACGAGGTGTACATGATCAGCATCTACTTCTGAAGGAGCAAAAATAGATAAAACTTGAGATTTGATAAAATTATATATATATATATATATGTATATATATCTGTTTGAATATAAAATTAGGGTTAATATTTTCTTATTTTAGGTTTTTATTTTTTGATTAGGGTTTTATTTATTGCCTATATATGTAGTGCCTGGTTCTTTGAATTGGAGATTTTTTGATGGTTGTTGATTAATGAACTTATTTATTTAGTGGTTTTCTCCCTCTATATGCTCTCTCTCTCTCCTATCTTTATTCTCTTCTCTTCCTCCTGGTTACTTTCTGGCATTTTGCAGTCATATAAATTGTTTCTCCAGACAATCCTACATTAATGATTTGCAAGAACACCATTGCAAAAGCTGTTTATGATTTTCTATCTAAAAATCAAGCTAAACTTCAAACATTTCAACAAAATGCTTCACTGGCAGAAACCTTCATGCGGAAACAGCTTTTGCAATGGTGCCGAAGAAATTTGAGATAGGATTGTCTGGAGAAACAATTTATACGCCTGCAAATTGCCAGAAAGTAACCATTTATGCCCTTCTCATCCATCAACAAAGAGCATTTCTTTAATTGAGAAGCTCGGGAACGTTAAATATAAAAACTAGGTAAGATCTAAGATTACCACCAATTAAAAAAAAAAAAAGGAAAATATGTTTCAATAGAGTTGCCAAATTGCAGACGCTCATAGTGCGATTCGCAAAGCGGCAATGTAACTGTTGTATCAATATTGTTGTTAAAAAAATCATTAATTATTGACTGTTGTAATTAAAAAAAATCATAGATTAAAGATAACTTACTCGTAAAGATTTTTTTCAAAATAAGTTCAATCGGTATGTACTAACTCTGGGAATGTTGTATGATTCTTTAAGAGCTTCCTAAAGTCATCAAGATCCTTCAGTTTTTTTCTTGTCTGGTGGTGTTGTTCCAAGCGGAATCAAATGTAAATCTCCTCCTTTATTTACATATGAAAAATTCATGAATGATATTCTCTCCATGAAGGTACTTTAGTGTCTCAAATATGTTGTTGTAAAATTGAAAACAAAAATAACATATATTAGGAATATGGAACTTAAATATATCTAAAATCTAAATCACATGACTTACCCAAAAAAAAAAAAAAATCTAAATCACATTCTTTTACCTGATTGACTTCTCCCAAAAATCAAACAATTTTTTGTTTACAAAATTGCTCCCTCTTACATTGGGATGGTCTGCCATCCACCTCTTGAAGTACTCGTCAAAATATTCGTGAATGAGTGCTACTTTTGTATTGGTGGTATCAAGACTAATTTAATTGCTTCTTCTTTATAGAGAGTGATTGTGTGTGTGGAGTGTGTGTTTTATATAAACTCGAGTAGAATAGTCATATTATAACTTACATATTGTACAAGTTTGCAAAAGTGAATTACAGATTTTCTGGTGGTTTTGTCCTTTTTTTTCTTTTGTTTTCACTTGTAAGTTAAAAGTTTAAGTCTCACCAAAATTAAAAATAAAATCTGTTATTTATACTACTTTTATATGTTTGTAAAAATTTCTCAAAATTATAGCAATGCTTTTATTAGAGTTTGAATTTCATGATTAAGTACTTGCAGTGAGACTAGTGCTTGAAACATATTAAAGGAATTTAGATAATTTGAACTCATTAAAGTAATTTCAACTTAATGAAATTCCTTTTAGTTTTTTTTTTTTTTTTTTTTTTTTTCAAAAATTTCAGGATAAACAGGAAAAGGAAGTGGAGAGTATACTTTTTTATCATTAAGTTTTGGTTGGCTTATATTTGACACAAATTACTCTATCACTTTTAACCAGTGCTTCCTCCAATTTAAATTAATGTGACCATATCACTTGACTCTACTTCCACTAATTTTATCATCTATATATATATATATATATATATATATTTGTTTTTTTGTGTTCGGTAAAGGTCTAAGTCGATGTTAAGGTCAAGTCCATTGGGCGAAGTGTGTAAAATAACTTGTCGAAAAGTGATGAATAAATTGGCCTATTAGTAAAATTACTTAGTCTTTAGTGTCTTCCTACCACCGGGTCTGAGTTTCGATTCCCATTAGGAGCGTATACAACTACTTGGGGTTACCCCTCCGCTATCATACTCAGCGTCCTAAATCCTCGAGAATTAGAAGCCTCAAATACCCTGAATTAACTATAAAAAATAATATATTTTTTTCTTAGTAAATATATTGGAAGAAGAACTCTCACTGATTCAGGCTTAACTCATTGATTTTGTTTTGTTTGGTTTGTATAAATAGTATCAAAAATTATATTTGGAACAATGATATATATATATATATATATATATATATATATATATATATTTTCTTGGAACAATGATACATTGGTCCTAAAACTATTTATAAGTTGAATTTTCTAACTATGAGAACTTCCATAAGAAACTGGTGGATAGAATATTTTTCCATTACATATTTGTTTATGGGAGTGTCCTTTATACTTTGCTTGCTTAATATGAATATCACCGGCAAAAATAATAATAATAATAACAAACAAATAAATAATAAATAAAAATCACAGATTTTGGAACATGTCATCAGATCATTATTGCCGATATCCAGGAATTTTTAGATAGAAATTAAGATTTTTCGATTGTCTCCGTGTCTCGTGAAGTTAATGGTGTTGCTCATCATTTAGCTGGGTGGGCTTTAAGGAGTAAACTAGAAAAGCTTTATATACTTTAAAGATTCCCTTGTGCATTCAAAGTTGTATTGCTGTGGGTTCGTCTATAAGCTGTTAATGTTTCTTGTTATCCTCCCTGATTTATCAATAAAATTTCTTGCCTTTTCGTCAAGAAAAAAAAAAAAAAAAAAACCAACCCAGATCATGAATCTTGGGCATTAAATTACACGTTTTTAGCTTATATCTTACTACATAAGAGAATGTACTGAATTGGGCACGGTTAGTTTGTTTTGGGGCTAATTATTTCAAAATGCCCTTAAAGCAAAATAAATAACAATTAAATGGAGTGACGGATCCAAAAAAAAAATTATTTGGGGAGGGGGGAAGATAGCTATTTTAATGAATAAATAACATTAATTGGTTGTTTTCACAAGTAAATAAAGCAACCAAGGCACTTTCTTTTGAGTAAGATCACAAATTTCTTTCACTATTAGAGTGTGCATCTACAGTATATGTGACTATTTTTGTGGGCAGGTGTGATGTGGATGGGTGCGAGACACAAGACAAGCTATCACATTGGCAAACTACTAAGTATCATAATCCCACATCGCCTGAAAAAGGTGAAATGTTATATGTAAGGTTCAACACTCTTATATGACACAACGTATTTTAAAGTAATGATGACCGTGAATCCATCCGAACTCTAAAGTTAATCGTGCTTACTCTAAGTGCATCCGCTCCCACTGAGCCCTTCTTGCATTGTGCTTGCTTATATGCACAAACTTTAGTAAGTTTATTTTGGAGTTTTTTATAAAATAATTTTGGTCAAAATTGACGATCAGGGGCAATTTGATACAAATTTTCAAATTATAGGGATTTATATGCACATACTAAATAATAGGATTGTTTCTTGCACATTTTTTATGTAGTAGTTTTTTTTTTTTTTTTTTTTTTTTATCCTTAACTTTATGCAGTGAATCGGTGCCGAAATTTAGTTTAAACTTTAGACTGAATTTCTTTTGATTTCAAATTAAAGACGTTGATTCAGTACTTTCAAATATCATTCATAAGGTGAAGAAAGAAAATGTGAGAGTAAATAACAAACTACATAAAGAAGTAAAGAACCAAGAGTATCAAGCATTTTCATTAAAGTGGTAATATTCAATCTAAAATCCAAAAATCTAAGGCCTAGTTTGGTACGCAATGAAATGAATTGGAATGGAATGATCTTCTTTGGTTGTAAATATGAAATGATAATCACAATTCTAAACATTCATTTCCTGTGCACAAAACTAGGCCTAAACATTTGTTTTATATGTCCAAAACTCTATACAAGAGAGTTTGACATTCAGATTACCCGCCCAAAATTTAATGTACCATTGGTTATACAAAAATAAAATAAAAACTAAGTTAAGAAAGAAATTGTTAAATGGTTATGGACCATTGCCCTTAGTGATCCAATTCAAACAAGAGTCCCTAAAAGAATAGTTATATTCTAATTGATTTGTGTTAACCCTCAAGCGTAACCTTCTTTTGGTCCAACACGTATTTTCAATTTTAATTATGGCAAAGTGCAATAAACCCCCTTGACTATTCGCATTTTGCAATAAACTTCGACTAATATTTTTTGTCAAAAAAATCCTATTATATAAGGAAAATTAGATCACCATTTTATTAAATTTATATTAATGGACACTTTAGTCGTTATAACATCACTTTGCAACAAATTAAATAGTTAGGGGTTATGTGCATTTTTTTCTTTACGGATGTTTCTTGCAAAAAATTCAAAGTAGAGGGGGATTTAATGTAATTTGTTTTATATAATAAGAATATAGGTATTTTTGTTTTAAAAATATTTTACATCCACTCACATTTACTATGTTACCTCCATTGAATATTTGGAGAGCTTTTTTAAAGTAAAAAATTAATCAAAGGAGGTTTATTGCACTTTTTTCTTTTTAATTATTAGGGTAAAAGCCCTTTCCATTGAGTACTTGTATTAACCTTCAGAACAATATTTGAATCCAACTCAGGTTCCATTAAGTACTCATATTAACCTTTATTTATTTTTTAACTTTACCAAACCTAGCATTCTCCGAATGTGCCACACATATCTGTCTGGAACACGAATCTAAAACGTAGTGTTTCAATGTTTTCCTTTTAAGAAAATAGATTCATAAAAGTGTAATAAAATATTGAAAAGAAACTTTAATTACGGAGTATTAGTTTTGATTGAATTGGTGGACCATGGTACAAGACTATTTGTAATGTCTATGGTGGACTATCAGTGCGAAAGTAATTTATGCTCGTGTAGACCAGTAAACCACCATTCCACTCAACGACGCAGCTCTATAGAGAGAGAAACTAGAGAGAGAGAGAGAGTATGAACATAAGGAAGCTCCAAATCCTTCTCTCACTCTTCGCTATCAACTCAATTTCTTTCTACCTCTACTTCTTCACCTACGCCGACCACTTCCACCACAAACCCCCATCGGAAAACCACCTATCTCAAACCATAAACATCCACAACCTATCGGAAAACCACCAGCACTTCCACACTTGCCACACTTGCCATGCCAAGCCATGGCCGATCTTGCCTTCCTACCTCCCCTGGTCTCTCAACCCTGACGTCCCCTTCAGATCATGCGAAGGCTACTTCGGCAACGGCTTCACTGAACGCCTCGATGTCCTCAAGCCCTCGACGGAGAATCACCGGAGATCGGGCGGGTGGTTCAGGTGCTTCTATAGTCGGACGTTGCGGAGTTCGATATGCGAGGGAGGGAGGATTCGGATGCATCCGGAGAAGATTAGTATGTCGATCGGAGGAGAGAGATTGGAGGCGGTGATCGGGAGGGGAGAGGATGCGGAAATGCCGGTGTTCGAGTCCGGAGCTTTCGATATCGAGGTCGGCGAGAGGTCGAGTCACGGACGAGAGCTTGCGAGTCGAGATTTTCTTGATCGGTATGTGCAGCGAGCCACGATTTCGAAGCACGCGATGCGCGGTTTGATGGATTCGATACTGCAAGTTGGCGCTGATAACTTCACGTGTTCGGAGGTTAGGTTTTGTTTTCCGTTTTGTCAATTTTTATGATGTATTGGTGTTAATTTAATATTTTCCTGTTATCTGGGACTTTAAATGCCAAAAAAAAAAAAAAATCTGAACTAGATGCTGCTAATAATAGAAATTTACTTAAATTTGTTGACTTTGATTGAGTGACATTAATGTTGATAAATGAATGAATATTGATGTTTATTAATTGAACTCGAAAATTTGTATTTGATACTATTGATTTTAATGTTGATGGCTTCCTGTGGTTACAGATTACCTTTTGTGTTGGGGATAATCAAATGAACTTTTTACTTTAGGATTTGCTGCTCTAATAATTTTTTTAAGATCAATAGTTCAAAATATAGCAGACATTTTTTCCTGTACTGATTGAATCAGCGTCACTATTATTATTTTTTTATAAGGGGGGAAAGGGGTGTTGAGGGTTTGGTTGGTTTAAGTGAAGGCCAGAGCCCAAGAATGCTAACAATATTTTCCACACTTGAGACCCCTATGATATCCAGAAAAAATAAAAAAATAATAAAAATAATAATAAAAAAAATAAAAAAATAATAATAATAAAAATTGATATCCAGAGAAGAAAGGCCATTACAGAATGTTGGGTGCACCACCATACAGGTTTTAAGTGGGGAATTGGATACAAACATTGTATTTGGTATTATTTTACACAAGTCTTGACTTTTTCCTGTTGCATTAAGCAATGCCCTATTACTTCCAAGTTCCAACAACAGAAAAAGTTACAATTGATATGCAGTTGAAGGGGGAAAAATAGTTACTTGCTAGTTGCTACAGTATTTTTTTAAATGGAAAACCTTTAAAAAGAAGTGACTGGAGTTTTAATTGGTAGAATTGAACTGGAGTGAGATGTGGACATGTTTCAAATTCTTAATTTTCTTCGACTTAAAACTAAGAGTCAAGGGGTTTTCTAAGCAAGTTGTTATGATGTTATCTGTCCAGAGCTTAGCTGCAACATGTTACATACACTGCCTTTTTAGAAGAGATATTGGGTGGGGAGTTAGGATTTGGGCTTTTGGGGCATGTGGCTTGTACCTTTTTGAGAGTGATGGTGAATCTCTTCCCTGTTATTGGTAAAAGAAAAAGCATCTATTTGTTTGATTAAGAGATTGTTTTACATTCATGGAATTCTGGGGATTTTTGGTCAGGAATCAAGCAATGTACTGGTGGAAATCTGGATGTTTTCAGAACATCTGAAAAACTTAAATCTAGAATTTGATAGATGTTATCATAGAAAATTTTAATTTCCTTGGGACAAGGTGGAGTTGATATGCATAAGAGCTAATATTCAGCCCATGTCAACACTTACATTTTCTTTTCTTTGAAGAAGAGTAATGCTATCAAGAGAGCTTCCTCACGACAATAGTCGTGAACTCTCCACATTTAATCACTGGATTGAAAGATGTACTGAATGATTCATTTGACTTTTCATAGATGTCAAAAAAATATCTCAATTGTAAAATATGGAGAGCTCATGACTATTATCATGAGGAAACTCTCTTGCAAGCATTACTATTTGAAGAAGTGGTATCTTTTTTCTTTTTTTTTGAATACCTTAAAGTGATGCAATATTAGCAGGACAACTTTTTCATGGACACCTTATACATACTCTTTTCCCATGTCAATCATGATGCATTTATTCTTTATTATTATTTTTAGCATCTTTTGTTTTTGTTTTCAAATATCTGATGCAACGTTTCTCATTACAGTGGGTTGAGGAGCCTACACTTTTGGTCACGCGTTATGAGTATGCAAACCTTTTTCACACAGTCACCGATTGGTTCAGTGCATATGTAGCTTCTAGAGTTACTGGCTTGCCTAATCGACCTCATGTGGTTTTTGTAGATGGCCATTGTCTGGTATGTGCGCTCAACTTCACATTGCTCATATTTTCTATTTACTATTGGGTTGCTATAAAATAGATTTTTTTGGGGTCATAATAGAAATCCTTTTTTTATTATGTTGTTTTGTTGAGCAAGCAATAGAGTCAACAAAAATGAAATAGATATCTAACTTTAGTGTTACAAACCACGCACTTCATATTAAAACTGATGGCATTGGCATCTGTGCATGATGATAAACAATGCACTTGAATTTGAAATTTGTAGTTATTTATGGAGTGATAAAAAATGAGAGCAGTGAGAGACTTTTATAGTTGCAATTGCTTGTATTCCGAGTTCAAATTCTTTTCTCAAGCACATTTGAATGGTGTGCCTCCTTCTTATAATCATCTTATTTGCAACATTACCACTATCTGATGAAGTAGAATTTCTAGCAGATGTATAAGATGGTGGATGTACATAACAACATAATATGGTGCAAACTGGGAATTATGGTCTAAAAATGTAAAAAAAAAATTCACTAGCTAAGCAAAGTTGAAAGGTGTTACCTAGTTCTGGTTCGACCACGGCAAGGTCCTGGGGAGGGAAGACTTGGGATAGACCTAATCTTTGGTATTTCACAAAGTGGTTGCTCTTCAACTTGAACTCACGCCAGTCGCATCAATGCTCAAGCGTTTAACCATGTCAAGCTTGGTTTCCTCCCAATTGATTTGTTGGACTGATAAATGACACGGGTCTATTGACTGTTAAACTATTTATTTATTATCAGGTTAGAAATGCTCCTTTCAGGATCATTGTTCAGTTCAACACAATGTTTGGGATGCAGTAGAACTTTGGAAATTTGTTTTATCTAGTTTGTTTTGTATTGGTGGTGCCTTTTGTTGAAAAACAAAGCACACTCATAATTCCAACTGCAATGACACATAATTTAGTTGTGTGTGTGTGTGTGTGTGTGTGTGTGTGTGTGAGAGAGAGAGAGAGAGAGAGAGAGAGAGAGAGAGAGAGAGAGATGTAACTGGAAACACTCCTAATTTTATTTCGCAATGATGTGAAGAATAGGCTATTTGAGCATGGATGTCTAGATTACATAGGCTGGAATACCGGACTCCACCTCCCACTTTCTATAGAACATGGAAAATATGGTCTCAAACTGTCAGTAGGGACTATGAAAGTATTGGATATCAGACTCGTATATGGTGTTATTAGTGTTTCATCATGTATGATCAAGGAGTAAGATCAATATAATGCCATTAAGTTAGTATCAGACTCATGCAGAAGCATAGATTGGTAAACTATCAAATCAATGTGTCCTCTTACAGTGAATTTATTATCACGGCAAAGCATTTCCACGTTTTGAGTATTCTTGTGCTGTGTCAAGGGCCAAGGCCTTGTGAGATGTTAGGTCCTGTCAGTGTATTAGTTTATTAAGCATCCAATAGTTGCTCTTCTTTGATTCTCAGAATCAATCATTTTTTAAGAACATCCCTCGTTTTCTTAAAGGCAACAGGTTAAGTAGATAGTTTTAGGCCGCGTTATATATAGGTTATGCTTATTGATGAACTTGTTCTTATTTTTTGATAGGATGGTGTTGCAAAGTCCGTTGACACCAGAAGCTATACTACTAAGTACTCATGATGTATTGACACAAAATTTAACAAAGATACGGAAAATTATCAAGAACACACACCAATTTACTTTGTTTGGGTTAAAGCGTATGTAGTGGGACTGAGATGACAAAGAAATTCACTATTGGAGATGAAGGTTATAAGAAAATTTACAAACCCTAGCCTCCCTCTATTTATACCAAGTTCCATATTTAACAGAGCTTACCAAATTCCCCTGATTTGACCCTTCTATAATTTGGTCCTATGATACAAGAGAAATACCCATATTACTGTAAAATTCATGGTCTATTGGCCTTCTTGGCCTCTGTAAAAGGCCTTTTGGATTCAGAATTTTGAGACACCATTACACCATCTCATCCTTGGCTTGAATTGTATCAAGCCTAATGAAACAGAAATTCTCTTTTGTATCTTCTCCACAAAATCCCCCGTAGGGTTTACCTCAATAGCTCCAAGCACCAATTAAGCTTGAGTAAGTTTGACTTGAACACAGGAATAGGCTTGGTAGCCTTATATTCTGGGCTACCGGTAATAGCATCAGTATGTTGAATCCTCTCTTTAAATACTTGATCTTTGCTCATGTGCATTGCACTGTCTGTGATGACGCACAACAGTTAACTCCTATTGTAAACCCAGATTACCAACTAAAACTCTTATTCAAAGAATTCCTGTTCACTTTAGTCACTGCCATATACCTTACCTGTAGACTGTAGTGAACAAGGCAACTGTAGTGATTTGACAAGTTGTCTTCTAACTGATGGCTCACTTGAGAGAGTGAAGACATAACGTGTCAGAGATCTCCTATTGCATAAGTGGAATCCGCAAACCTTATAACACTATCGGAAGTGTCACTGCTACTGTGGTCATAAACCAAATCCATATCTGTAGTACCTCTCAAATACCAAAGTAACTTCCTATGCACTTCATTTGGATACTCCATATACTACCAGAGGGGCTGGGTCTTGGCTCAACGGTAAGGGTGCTCAATTTTGACCTGGAAGTCACTTGTTTGAACTGGGAAACCACCTCTTCTCATGCGGAGGTAAAGCTGTGTGCATCTGACCCTCCCAAGACTTTGCAGTGGCAGTGCACTGGGTGAAATAGGTTGCGTAAAACTAACATGGGATAAAGTAATTTAAAATGATTTTAAAAGATTAAATAAAAGAGGAGAAATAACTTGAAATAGAAAAGAATGGAAAAAGAGAATTCATATGGCTGACTCGTTCATATGGAATATTTCAATTTTTTCTTTCTCTTATGTATTCTTTGTTCCGGATTACTCTTTTCATTTGATATATTCACTGTTTCAGATGAAATGTTGTTGACCTTGAGGAAACTTGTAATTTGAGCTGCTTCTTTTGATGGTTGAATTATGAATGCACTTAACAAATGTATCGATCACTGCTCGACTTGCTTCATCTGTTTCTCAACCACTCATTTCGATTCATGCACTTTTACCTTTGAGTCTCTTTTTGGAGAGCAAAAATTACTGTCTGAAATTGTGCCTGAATTACCAATTTTACTGTGCTAAGATTGTAAAGGTTGCAAAACCCTAAATATTTGACTCTGCCTCTTACTTCTCTGTTGTGTGGCCAATAATAGAGTAGTCTACAAAATTACAGTTCCTGATTTCTCTTTGGCAAAAATTCAGGCACCTTTGGAAGAAACATGGAAGGCACTGTTTTCAAGCCTCAGATATGCCAAAAACTTTAGCGGTCCTGTTTGTTTTCGCCATGCAATCCTTTCGCCTCTGGGATATGAAACTGCCCTATTTAAAGGGCTGTCTGAGGATGTAAACTGTCGCGGAGCTTCTGCACATGATTTGTGGCAAAAACCTGATAATCACAAAACGGCACGATTATCTGAGTTTGGAGAAATGATAAGAGCAGCTTTTGGTTTTCCGGTAGATAGACACCATAACCCAAAGCCGATATCAGGTCAAAACGTCCTCTTTGTTCGGCGAGAGGATTATTTAGCTCATCCACGACATGGTGGTAAAGTGGAATCGAGGCTCAGCAATGAACAAGAGGTGTTTGATTCTTTAAAGAGCTGGGTATCAAATCATTTGGAATGCAAAGTAAACCTGATTAATGGTTTGTTTGCGCACATGTCCATGAAAGAGCAAGTCCGAGCCATTCAAGATGCGTCAATCATTATTGGAGCTCATGGAGCTGGTCTCACTCATATAGTTTCAGCAACTCCTAAAACAGTGATATTTGAGATCATTAGCCGTGATTTCAGGCGCCCACATTTTCGATTGATTTCCCAGTGGAAAGGATTAGAGTATCATTCCATGAATCTGGCTGGATCATATGCCAATCCTTCAGCGGTTATTGATAAGCTCAGCAGCATATTGAAGAGTCTTGGATGCTGAAAGTATTATTAATATTTTGGATGAATTTGGTGTACCCTCCACTACTGTGAAGCGAAAAGGGTGCGACGGGAAGTCATCTCTGCATTCACAATCTAACGCTGGGATCTATAGATGTGTTTGTTCAATCTTTTGACCTTGTTTAGGTATTAGTTTTTTTCTGGTACTACTAGTTTACCCTTTTCAAATGGGTAATTAGATCGAAGATGGAAAAAGTAGTAGGTACACAAACAGGGATTTAACTTTTTTTGGTCTAATTGTTGACCAAGTAAAGAGGAGTTGCTGTAGCAATAGAACGGGGAGGGCTTGGCTGTATTTCATCAATGGGAAAGTAGATGGACATTCTTGTTGTCAGGCAGTGGAGGATTGATTACAAGTGAGAAGATGAAAACCATTGTTGCCGGGTATATTTCCCGGCAACCTTTGTTACTGTTTGTATCAACGGAGGAGCCCCCACGGGGAAGGGGGGGTTTGATTTTTCATGGAAACTGATTGTTTTTTCACTTTACACGAAAAATAAAAAAAAAAAAGGTTTTCTTATTGTTAATAGAACAATTTGATTGTTGATTTTCATGTTGGAATGTTCTGTTGATTATGCATCACTCCATTACCGTCTTTAACTTTTAGTTTCCTGATTGTTGGCTACTCAATGGAGTCGATGCAAATGCAGCACAACAAAGGATTCAAGCTGAACCTTAATTATTTCTTTTCCTGTGTCCGACTCTGTAGTCAAATAATTTGGTTCAGTTATATATATATATATTTATTTATTTATTGTTGTAGTATGATGAAAAGATACGTTGGAGAAAGAATATGCTGGACTCCTCATGTTTCCTGATGAAGAAGAAGAGGAAGAAAATAAATAAAACCAGAAAACTCTCTTTCATAATTAAGAAAAGAAAATAGTTGTTTGAATTAATGAATTTTTTTTTTTTTTTTTTTGGAAACCTGAGGTATCCGAGGCTTCGTCCCGACTAATCTCCGAGGATTCATGCAAGGTGACCCCCTGACCGGATAAAACTCGGACTATGTCTGAAGTCTTGGCCCCAAGAAATTGCTCGCACAAGGAATTGCTCGCACATAAGGGAAATCGAATCTGAGACCTAAAGCTTAATAAGGCTCCAAGTAATTAATGAAAATTTGTTTTTCTAAAAAACTGAATCAAACAAGCTTTTATATTCTTCCAAGATTGAATAGTTGCAACTGGACCACCCTTTAAATAAAAACATGAAAATAAAAATAATAATTAAATAATCAACTTAAAGAACAAGAACTAGAATAAAAATGTAAGAAATTCAAATTTGTATACAAAAAAACATATACAAATAAATACATAATAGAAATTTCAAGAAAATTGTAAATTAGAATTTGAGCTATTAAAACAGTTCCCAAAAAAGAAGTAATTAGATAATAAATCTCGACGGAATATATATAAAAATAAAGATTTGATTTTCCATCAAAAGTGCAACCTTTCATATTACTAAATCAACTACATAAAAACATAATACACAAGAATTGAATTGCACATTAGATAATCAATCTAAATGCAATTCAAAGATCATTATCAATATATACAAAAACAAAATACAGATTCTCCATCAAAAGTGCAGCCTTTCATATTATTAGTCAACTACATAGTACACAAGAATTAAATTGTAAGAAAACTTACATGAAGTTCGTTTCTTAATATATGAGCGACAAACTTTTTAGGTTCAAGAGCAAATCACCTTTATGAAATGTGCCTCACACGGTATTAAAATTTAAATTTGTACCATATATATACACACACACAAATAAGTACATACTAGAAATCACAAGAAAATTGCATATTGAAATTTTATCGAATAGAACCTTGCGATTAAAACCTTTCAAAAAAAGAAAAATTAAAAGAGTGTGAGAGGTAACTGAGAATGGACTACTTTTGTTCTACAAATTTCGCTGTTCAAGTTCATTTTCTATTTTTTTTTTTTTTTTTTTAACTCAACACCATTCAGACGTGGGTAGAAAGGATAATCCACTGGCATATTTGATTTTTTGCTATCCTCTCTTTCACCCATTTGAATTTTAATTTCTCAACAGCATTAGACTAATTTTGGATTGATCGGTTTAGTTTATGAGATGAAATTCTTTGTTTCGATTGAGAGAGTTAGTATTAATTTTACTTGTTTAACTTAATGTAGGTAAGACGATAATGAAGTGTACGTTGACGAAATCATACAATAGTTTATGAGAATGGTTTGGAACATGAAATTTGTACTATTTATCTAAATTAGTGTCTTTCATTTTTGGACAAATTACATCTAATACCCACGTGGTTTACATATTGTACAGTTAAATAGAAGTATGGAAAATATAACAGTAAAGTCTAAATTGACTTGACTTTTGAATATAAAAGTTAATTTACATATATAACCTTAAGACACTTTTTTTTTTTTTTTTTTCAGAAGTTATAACCTTAAGACACTTCACCATTATTTAAAAGAAAAATCTAGAAGGAAGTTGATGAGGGTAACTTATGTTTTTACCCCTTCTTGATGGGCTCACCATTATTTTTGGTTATGTGGGCAGTACTTGTTAACTTAAACATGTTCATTTTTGGCCTCACTAGTTTATGTGTATGGGCAGTAAACATGTGTATAAGTTATGTGGGCACCTTATTTTGTAAATCAGTATGTATGGAACATGAATATGCTTGTTGGCATTGGTACTTGAGAAATTATATGATGTAATATTTATGACTTGTTGGGTTATATATGTTGGTGAATTAGTAAGGATAATATAATATATTGTACCACACTTTCAAAAAATACCACACTACATGACCAATGTCTCTGTCACTAGGATACACAAGCATATAACATGATCATAGCTAAAACACAAAAAATAAAGATACTTCTAATGACCATTGTCTTGGCTATTCCTAACTTGGCGTAAGCTGTGCAGTTACATGCAAAACATGGGTTAGTGAAAGACATTGGTTTGATGGACCATTGATGTTCCATGCAAAACTTAATTCAAATAGTGAAGGAAAAAGTTTTGCATGGCTAGACGTAGAGATAAAGAGAAAGTGCACTTTTGCCTTTTTTTGAATGATATAATTTCAATTCAACTAATAGACAATTTGGTCTTCTCACAATATCAAGGTTATCTATGTCCAAAAGTATAATTACCCTACATTGATTTGATGCATCACTCAAGAGTGAAACCACAAGGGTGGTTGATGAATATATCGCACATACTTCTATTTAGGTGTACAAAATGAAAACCTCGTTGGTGTTAAATGTAATTTGCCCTTTATTTTTTCATGTGGTGATGATGATGATGATGATGATTATTATTATTATCATTATTATTATGATCATAATCCTATATAATTAGGTCAAATTGAGTTGTTGTTTGTTGCATATAAATATGATTTCTTACGAATTTAAAACATTATAAAATGCTTATAGAAACTTATGCCAGTGTTATTACGATAAACACTCAATATGAGTCTTTTTTTTATATAATTATTATTTTCAAAAACGGTTGTTTGTAGTACGAATTCAAAATGCTGGGAGATGGGTTGGGAAATGGGTTAACTTTGTCACCATTATTTTGTACACGTGTTTGACATACACGGCTTTTGGCGCCAACGGTTTTTTTTTTTTTTTTTCAGCCTAGCAACAGAATGTTCTAAGACATTTACAAGAACTGAACAACAAAACAACCATAACGAAAGGAAATAAACAACCAAAGCCCCGCAAAAACAATACATTCAACAGATTAGTTGGACGTGTCAACACTAGGTTGAACATCACCAACCAAAAAAGCCAGCTGCGTAGAAAAAGACTGCGAAGGAGATGCATCCGAGTTAACTGAATCGCCAGCCTGTGCACCAAGAGGAATGTTACCCGCAGCACCAAACGAAAACTGATCCGTATCCAAACATGCCGTAAGAGGAGCCACTGAAACCTTATGCTTCTTCCCATCAATCGGAGGTGATCCCTAGCCCAAAACAGGATTGAGTGGGCGACGCTTACTACTATTTCTCGCACGAAAAGAGCCCTGGCTGTGAGAGGATGCCGAAGAATCAGAAGAACAGCCGTTACGAGGCACCGCCGGACCTTTACCTTTTCTACCACATTTGGAAAGTTGATCCCATCGCGATAAAGACAACACCCGCCCTTAGCCTGAGAAACGGAAGGCACACATTGAACTGGCTCCTCAATATGAGCTAAAGCAACAAAACTCTAAGAGGGGGAGCCATGAACTTCATTATTGGCCGAACCATACACGCCCGCCCCCACCTGAACACACTCATCCGAGTGACCAGAACCCACAACCTCGGTAACACCCAAATGAGAACCCGCAAATGGAGGATGTGAACATGCACCTGTAGCAACACCAACCTCTCCCAAAGCCTCCACACCTACAGTTGACAACGCCCCTTCCACAACAGGAACAGTAGCAGTAGGAACCTGACCACGAGGTGCAGTCAAAGTAAAGTCGCCCAAGACCCTGTCGAAATCATCTCCCTCCACATAGAGCCAATTCTTCCCGGTACTCACAGCCAAAGATTCAGTCCAATTACCACCGGGATTCCAAATATCCTTCCCCAAGTAACCCTCCACACCTAACCAAGGACCATACTCCATCAATTCCACAGGGGACTGAGAGGCACCAACCGAACAAGCCTTCCAGTTCTACCCGATAATACCACAAGCAAAACACAAGGACGGGAGCTTTTCATATCAAACTTGAATCCAAACTCCGTACCCGACGGACCTAACAACCTCAAATTCGACGAAGTGATTTAGAAATATCCAGCTCCACTTTGAGGCGGAGAACCCTACTATCAACCAGCAAAGTCTCCTTGTTCTCCATCACACCCTTGTCATGCAATTCCACCTTCAAACACCGACCAAAAGAATTGGCAATGCGACGACCAACCTTTTCAGAGAGGTAATTAGCTGGAACATCACAGAGTTGTATCCAAAATAGGGAAAGCTGAAACGCCGACTCAGAAAGGAGAAGACCATCCTCCCACTCTTTAAGAACAAGCAGATGCCCATCAAATAACCAGGGACAGCCTTAAAAGATCCTGAGACGAACCGAACCGTCCAGAATGACCAGTTGAAATAAATTCCTTGTAATCTTATAGATAATGAGACATGAGGACAGAGCTTTATTTTGTCTTTCCTTTGGCCACAGCTTTTGAAACATCCTGCTAAAAGTGTACTTAACACCAGCTAGTGTAATAATCTTCGAAGCCCAAACCTTGCCAAACAAACTATTACAGCACATATTCACCCCTTGAGCAGTATCCTTAGCCGATAAATGAACAGGTGATAAGTGCTTAAATGTTGCACATTTCAACACCTAAGTTAGGGTATTTCAGTCTTTGCATCTATCTTAATTTCATGTTTTAGTCCTAATTTATGTTTATGTGTATTTCAGGGCAATAAAGTTAAAATGAGCTAAGAACGGTCCATTAAAGCCTTTTTGGAGTCAAGTAAAAATATTCAGAAAAGCTCAGAAAATGGCAAAAAGGAGGTCGCAGCCCATTGCTCGAATAGTGTGTTTATTCTACAAAAGCAGTCAATCTCAGGCCTTTGATGATGTT